TAGAAAAAAATTCCATTGTTGAATTTTTTTTCTATAGAAAAAACTTCCATTGTTGAATTTTTTTTTCTATAGAAAAAACTTCCATTGTTGAATTTTTTTTTCTATAGAAAAAATTCCATTGTTGATTTTTTTTTTCTATAGAAAAAAATTCCATTGTTGAATTTTTTTTCTATAGAAAAAAATTCCATTGTTGAATTTTTTTTTCTATAGAAAAAAATTCCATTGTTGAATTTTTTTTCTATAGAAAAAAATTCCCTTGTAGAATTTTTTTTTCTATAGAAAAAAATTCCATTGTTGAATTTTTTTCTGTAGAAAAAAATCCATTTTGTTATTTCTATAGAACATTTCAGATTTTTTTTCTATTTTTTTACAAGTGCCAATGACTTCATCGATTATTTTCTACGCCTCCCTTACAAATTGCTATCTTAAGTAAATTTACTCGCTGTAATGTAGATTCTATGAGCGATAACATCGCCCTGAGTTCGGGTATCGGACAATAACGTTGAGCAAACAAAAAAACAAAGTCTGGGCGCCTTTTATTGCCAACCACTGAAGTGCTGGTGATTTTCCAAACTATCTGGGGCTCTCAGCTCTGCCAGCTGCTGGCGCTGGCGACAGAGCCAGTGGCATTAAATTAATGACCGAAGCAAACAAATTAAAAAAAAAAAAAAAAACGAAGCGCCTCGCTGGACGTTTAACACCTTTCCGCGTCGAAGGCCTACGGCCATAACACTCGACCACTTGCGAACCGAACCGTTTCTACGCACAAAATTGTCATAAAATTGATTGATAATTTTTTTTTCGGGGTCTTATCTTTTAATAAATTCTTGAAATTGTTGGGGGATTATTTTGTGGCAATTTGTTAATTTCGATTTTTTTGTTTTTGTTTTTTTTTTTTTTTTTTTTTTTTTGGCATTGATTTTTTCTGTCCTCTCTAAATTTCTTGTTAAAAATAATGGATTTAGGAGAGGTTTCCGTTGGCATGATGAGGTAATTCGTTGCGCGTTCGGCATTCTTTTTATTACAAACTTGGTAGTGAAAATCAATTAAGGCAGCCAACAACAACAACAATACCAAAACCGGCAGCAACACTCCCTGAAGAAGCCAAGAACATTAGGTGAAGAAGTCAGTGTCACAACAATTAAGACAAAGAGAGAGATTAGAGAGAGAATCAACGAATGAGATGCTCTCTATTTCTGTAGAACAGAAATGCTGTAACAACTCGATTTTTTCTATGGAAATATGTTTTTCTGTAGAAAAATTTCCTTTGGTGATGTTTTTCTATAGAAAAATTTCCGTCGGTGATGTTTTTCTATAGAAAAATTTCCGTCGGTGATGTTTTTCTATAGAAAAATTTCCGTCGGTGATGTTTTTCTATAGAAAAATTTCCGTCGGTGATGTTTTTCTATAGAAAAATTTCCGTCGGTGATGTTTTTCTATAGAAAAATTTCCGTCGGTGATGTTTTTCTATAGAAAAATTTCCGTCGGTGATGTTTTTCTATAGAAAAATTTCCGTCGGTGAAGTTTTTCTATAGAAAAATTTCCTTTGGTGAAGTTTTTCTATAGAAAAATTTCCTTTGGTGAAGTTTTTCTATAGAAAAATTTCCGTCGGTGATGTTTTTCTATAGAAAAATTTCCGTCGGTGATGTTTTTCTATAGAAAAATTTCCGTCGGTGATGTTTTTCTATAGAAAAATTTCCGTCGGTGATGTTTTTCTATAGAAAAATTTCCGTCGGTGATGTTTTTCTATAGAAAAATTTCCGTCGGTGATGTTTTTCTATAGAAAACTTTCCGTCGGTGACGTTTTTCTATAGAAAAAAATTCCTTTGATTAATGTGTTTTTTTTTTTATAGAAAAAATTCCATTGTTGATTTTTTTTCTATAGAAAAAAATTCCGTTGTTGATTTTTTTTCTATAGAAAAAAATTCCGTTGTTGATTTTTTTTCTATAGAAAAAAATTCCGTTGTTGATTTTTTTTTCTATAGAAAAAAATTCCGTTGTTGATTTTTTTTTCTATAGAAAAAAATTCCGTTGTTGATTTTTTTTTCTATAGAAAAAAATTCCGTTGTTGATTTTTTTTCTATAGAAAAAAATTCCGTTGTTGATTTTTTTTCTATAGAAAAAAATTCCGTTGTTGATTTTTTTCTATAGAAAAAAATTCCGTTGTTGATTTTTTTCTATAGAAAAAAATTCCGTTGTTGATTTTTGTTCTATAGAAAAAAATTCCGTTGTTGATTTTTCTTCTATAGAAAAAAATTCCGTTGTTGATTTTTCTTCTATAGAAAAAAATTCCGTTGTTGATTTTTTTTCTATAGAAAAAAATTCCGTTGTTGATTTTTGTTCTATAGAAAAAAATTCCGTTGTTGATTTTTTTTTCTCTAGAAAAAAATTCCGTTCTTGATTTTTTTTCTATAGAAAAATATTCCATTGTTGAATTTATTTTTCTATAGAAAAAAATTCCATTGTTGAATTTATTTTTCTATAGAAAAAAATTCCATTGTTGAATTTATTTTTCTATAGAAAAAATTCCATTGTTGAATTTATTTTTCTATAGAAAAAAATTCCATTGTTGAATTTATTTTTCTATAGAAAAAAATTCCATTGTTGAATTTATTTTTCTATAGAAAAAAATTCCATTGTTGAATTTATTTTTCTATAGAAAAAAAATTCCATTATTGATTTTTTTTTTCTATAAAAAAAATTCCATTGTTGAATTTATTTTTCTATAGAAAAAAATTCCATTGTTGATTTTTTTCTATAGAATAAAATTCAATAGTTGATTTTTTTCTATAGAAGCTTTATTAACAAAATTTTCTCTATGGAAATATTTTTCCATTGAGACATTTTCTATAGAAAAATTTCCCCAACCCGATTTTTTTCTATAGAAAATTTTCACCAATGAAATTTTTTCTTTAGAAAAAAATCACCAACGATTTTTTTTTAAATGAAAAATTCAGTTTAAAAAATTCGCTTTTGTAGGGTACCCAAAAAACACATCTAGGAAGATTCCAGCCATGAAGTTATGACAGCATTGAAACATCCAAATCCCACACGTCAGCTAGAAAATATGAAACAAAGTGAATACGCGTGGTACTTTGGATAATTTTCAATATTCCATAAAATCTTCAACACCTCCAATCAAATAACTTAATTATAAATTAAGAATATCTTAGAAAATTGCATATCAGTTTCAGTTTAAAGTGCAATCCAAGCAGACGTCCAATCTGGAAAGGAAAACTCAATTTTAAGTCATTCTAAGCTACTACACTCAAAGAAAAACGTCAGTGGATCTAGGAGAAGTGCAACGATTTGTAAAGACATTCTGTGGTCAATCAATTTCACTTCAACGCCAATGATGGCAGTAGTGTCGTAAGGTATTGCAAAAAAAAATCGAAAAGAAAATAAACGTGCCGATAGCCAACGGGGTGACGTACTTTGATAAGATAACAACGGAATGGAAGCAAAAACCCAGACTGTAAAAAAAATTAAATAAAACGTAAGAGTTTTTAATTAAAAATCGGAGAAGAGTTCATTTGTAATTCACTCATTATGGCAAAAAGGTTCATTGGTGAACTTTTTCTATAGAAAAATTTTCATTGGTGAACTTTTCCTACACAAAACCTTTCGTTGGTGAAAATTTTCTATAGAAAAATTGTCATTGGTGAACTTTTCCTAAACAAAACCTTTCGTTGGTGAAAATTTTCTATAGAAAAATTGGCATTGGTGAAAATTTTCTATAGAAAAATTGGCATTGGTGAAAATTTTCTATAGAAAAAATTCGCATTGGTGAACTTTTTTTCTATAGAAAAAATTCGCATTGGTGAACTTTTTTTCTATAGAAAAAATTCGCATTGGTGAAGTTTTTCTATAGAAAAATTCGCATTGGTGAAGTTTTTCTATAGAAAAAATTCCGTTGGTGAACGTTTTTCTGTATAGAAAAAATTCCGCGTTGGTGAACTTTTTTCTATAGAAAAAATTCCGCGTTGGTGAACTTTTTTCTATAGAAAAAATTCCGCGTTGGTGAACTTTTTTCTATAGAAAAAAATTCGCATTGGTGAACTTTTTTCTATAGAAAAAAATTCGCATTGGTGAAGATTTTTTTTTCTATAGAAAAAAATTCGCATTGGTGAAGATTTTTTTTCTATAGAAAAAAATTCGCATTGGTGAACTTTTTTCTATAGAAAAAAATTTGCATTGGTGAACAGTTTTTCTATAGAAAAATTTGCATTGGTGAACAGTTTTTCTATAGAAAAATTTCCATTGGTGAACAGTTTTTCTATAGAAAAATTTCCATTGGTGAACAGTTTTTCTATAGAAAAATTTCCATTGGTGAACAGTTTTTCTATAGAAAAATTTCCATTGGTGAACAGTTTTTCTATAGAAAAATTTCCATTGGTGAACAGTTTTTCTATAGAAAAATTTCCATTGGTGAACAGTTGTTGCGGAGCAGTGTAAAGAAAATAAAAAAGGAAGAAATAAAACACAAGTAAATTAGTATTTTTGAAATTAAAAAATTGGCGGTTTTATTGATGATTTATATTAGTCGAAAAACTAATATATAATTTACCTTTGTTGTACAATGGTGTTGCAGAGATGTTTATTGGACGAAGATCCGTGAAACAAGTGAAGTGAAAAAAGCAACGAGAAAGCCAAGATGTCTCAAGAGCCGCGTAAATTGACAGATAATACTCGTTAGAATTTGCCATCGCTAACTTTGAACGAAAGTTCAAAGTTGAATAAAATGGTATGATGGCAAATTATTAAAAATAATGACGAGTTGCATTTAAGGTTTATAATTTAATTGTAAATTAAACATTACCGCCGCCCTTGAAACATCTAGGTATGTTACAACAATTATGCTTATATCTATAGGTTTAAAACTACAAATAAATAGAAGGTGTAACCGTCAATTTTTTGAGCATTTTCTTTATTCAGTTTATTTTTTTTTTTTTTTTTTTTTTTCATTTTTTCAAAAACAAGTGATGGTCGATGAACCATCCAGGCAATAGAAGATTGCCTTCAACAAATTTTAGACCATTGGTCTCGATCTAGGCCGATCATCTCGGGCAACTTCACAGTGGGCAAGGACCGGAAACCACCCAACCAAAGATAGTAAGTTGAGCCCAAGGGAACCCTGGGCTCGAATGGGTTTGAGATTTAATAACCTTCGGGTACACATCGGGACCAAGAATTAGTGCGATGTGAGCGGACTTGTAGAATTCGGGATCTGCTAGTTGCATCCCAGCATAGTGGTCTTTTATTAGGTCTGGAGCAGATTGCGCGGGAGTGACCACATGTCTCAAGGGCATGCTAAGTGCGGATACACGAAGCAGCTGCGTCTGGTCGTGAAAAGACTGTAAAGTCAGTTGGCAGAACAAATCCTGGCCAACGTTTAAGGAGCTGAGCTGGAGTTTACTAGTCAGCGTGGAGCAAATTCGACTATGTCCAGCACAAGGATCCAATAGCGCTCGAACTGGTACTTTTCGGTCCGGAAGAACAATTTGTACCACCATTGTAGGCCCCAGAGTCACAATGGGCTGTATGGACTGAACTATCGGACGGACGGCGCCCGAAGGGGCGGACGATATCGGATGAGAGCGAACAGACGGACGTTTAGCAGAGGTCTTTATTTTAGCGGACGAAATTGAATTGGACGAGGGCGACGAATTAAATGCACGAGACGTATAGCCTCTACTACCCGAAGGGCGGACAGTTCCATGGAGTGTTTGGTTGGAGTGGAGAAGTGTGTGGTGGTTATTGTTGCACTTCTTGCATCGTCGCACACTGAAACAATCTCTTAGAATATGTGATCGGGTCAAACAATTCGAACAGAAATTATTCTGCACCACAAATCGAATTCTCTTCACACAAGGTAGCTTGTGGAACTCGGGACAATCTTTCAAGAAATGCCTCTGCATGCATATTGAGCATTTCGGTCCCTGTGGACGATTAGATCCTGCCACTGGTCGATTACCACAAGGAATTGTGGCCGTACTATTTGCTGTGTTTTCATCATTGGCGTGTGCAAGCTCCCGATGGGGAGACGCCGAAGGAATAGTCCAAGTTGAAACAGAACGCGCCCGTGCAATCTCCCGATGAGGAGAAGCGGGTCCTACTTCTTCATTATTGGGCAGAAGTACCGGAAGGGTATCAACCGCCATTTGGGACGAAAATCCCAGATTGGACACAACAGTTGCCGTGCAATTCTCCTGATGAGGAGAGACAACCGATGCGGTGCTGGGGAGAGCCACAGTTGCCGTGCTATTCTCCCGATGAGGAGAAGCAACCATCTTCTTGTCAGCCGATGAGCTGGTTTGGCAGGCTTGAAGACCCGGAGCAGAGTCCTTATTAGGAGCTTCGATAATTTCTTTAAAAGCCGAGTCTTGTGATCCCAAAGGAGCCACATTGTTGTCTTCAAACTCTCTCTCTTCATCCGACATTGGGATGTTGTCATCCACAATTGGGAGGGAAGCGGCCATCTTACTCAAGTTTTCCATATCTGCGAAAAAATGGAGATGGCGCAGTGAAGAGAGAACAACTATCTATTCTTGGTCGGTCAGAATGACAAGCTTAACTACGGGTCGTTTTACGATACCGTTTTCCGTCTTCACGTCCGCGACTCTAACATGACCGTCGATTCCCGGATAGACTTTTACGACGCGACCGAGTTTCCACGAAGTGGGAGGTAGTTGTTCATGTCGAAGAACTACTAAATCATCCGTTTGAATATCGCGTTGCGGAAATTTCCACTTATAGCGGTGGTGGAGGCTCTTTAAATATTCATCTTTCCACCGGAGGCAGAATTGTTGAGAGAGCGCTTTCAACTTTCGATACCGGTTCACGATATCCAAAGGAGATTCGTTTATGATGGGCTCTGGGGGAGCAAGGATTGGAGACCCGACAAGAAAATGTCCAGGCGTAAGCGCCACCGTATCATCAAGACTATCATTCATAGCACAGAGAGGACGAGAATTTAAACAAGCTTCTATTCTTGTTAGTACTGTCGAAAACTCTTCAAATGTAAATTTAAGATTTTTAGTCATTTTTCGAAAATGAGTTTTGAAGCTTTTGACAGCAGCTTCCCAGAGTCCACCCATATGTGGAGCTCCGGCTGGATTAAACCTCCAGGAAAGATCCTGGTATTGAAACTTACAACGGAGTTTATTACGAATGTCATTTAATGCCAGTTTAAATTCTCGTTCTAACTCTCGAGATGCACCAACGAAATTGGTACCATTATCCGAGAAGATAGTCTTGGGACATCCACGGCGTGAAATAAACCTGTAAAAGGCTGCTAAAAATGTTTCCGTGGATAAATCGGAGGATGGTTCTAAATGAATTGCTTTCGTAGAAAAGCACACAAAAACGCAAACATAACCTTTTGTAATTTTGCAATATCTACCTGTAAAGGATTTGATATCAAATGGTCCAGCGAAATCGATACCTGTAGTAGAGAAAGGTCTGGACAAAATAGTCCTCTCCGGAGGAAGAGATGCCATGATTTGTGTACATGTACGTTTTTTCGCTAAAATGCATATTTTACAATGCCTAATTGTTTTTCTGATCAATGAAGTAGCACGAGGAATCCAATATTCCAGACGAAGAATGCGAAGCATTAATTGGTTTCCTCCGTGCATAGACTCTATGTGAATTTGTTCCAACAAAAGTTCTGCGAATCTACTATGGTATGGTAATAAAATTGGATGACGTTCAGAAGTGGAAAGAGTTTGACACTGTGCAAGGCGTCCATTTAAGCGCATTACCCCTGTTTCATCCAGAAATGGATTTAAGGATAAAATTGAACTCTTCGAATTGAGTGGCTTTTTGTGTAGTAACGCAAAGTATTCCTCAGAATAGAATGATTTTTGAGCTAAAGCAGCCAGACGGAATTTGACTGCTTGGATTTCAGAATTAGTGGGGGTGGAACCTTCAAACTGATATTTGCCTCGATGAGCTGAATGTGTATTATGGAAAAACCTTAGAATACATGCAATGGCGCGGAGCGCCGTATCTATGGAAGAGAATCGATTTAAGATATCTTCATAGTTTTGTATAAAAGTTACATGACTTTTAACTGGGCGAAGTTCGACAACAGTATCAAGCGAAACGTTTTGAATATTCCAATTTGAACTATCAAGACCTAGCCATTGTGGCCCATGCCACCAAATTTGTGATGAAGCCAACTCCGAAGGAGAAAGCCCCCGACTGCCCAAGTCTGCAGGATTGTCCTCAGACCGAACGTGGAACCACTTATTTTGCCCAACATTCTCCTGAATACGACAGACCCTATTTGCTACGAAGGTAGACCATGTTGATGGCGTTTTTTGAAGCCAAGAAAGCACAATTGTTGAATCTGTCCAGCAATAAATTTTGTTAAAAGAAATATCAATCTCGTTTAGAATGCCTTTTAGAAGTTCGGATGCCAGCACTGCACCGCATAATTCTAAACGAGGTAAAGAAATAGATTTGAGAGGAGCTACTTTTGTTTTACATGATAGAAGATTTGTGAAAATGGTGCCATTTGAATCTATAACACGAATGTAAGCTACCCCCGCGTATGCCTTTTCTGAGGCATCAGAAAAGACATGAAGTTCGACTTGGGAATTCGGAGAATATTGGACCCAACGAGGAATAGAAATCGAATTGACGTCAAGATAGGATTCAACGAATTTTTGCCATTCACGTTCCGTCGAAGACGGAAGCGAATCATCCCAACCAATGTTGTCGAGCCAAATACGTTGCATAATTATTTTTGCGACCACTATAACTGGTCCTAGCCATCCAACTGGATCAAATAATTTAGCGATAGTTGACAAAACTTCCCGTTTAGTATATTTGGACCGATGTTCCAGCGCGTTTACACTGAAATAAAAATGGTCCAGCTGTGCATTCCAACGAATACCCAGCGGTTTTGAACTGCTAGCTTCTACGAAAGTTAGAAGCTGAGCGTCGTAAAGATGATCTGAAGGAAGTGGTTGTAAAATACTGCGATCATTGGCTGTCCATTTACGTAATTCAAATTTTGCGGAAGATAGAGCACCAATTAGTTGGTCTCTAGATTTGTGCGCTGTCTCCAAATCGTGATAGCCGGTTAAGACGTCATCTACGTACATGCACTTCCGAAGGATATGTGCAGCTAATGGAAATTCATTTTCTGTGTCATCGGCCAATTGTAGTAAAGTCCGAATGGCAAGATATGGAGCACAATTTACTCCGAATGTTACGGTTTGAAGTTCAAAGTCTTGAACCGGCTTGTTGGGAGAATCCCGAAAAACAATTCTTTGGAGGGGGGTGTGAGCAGGATCTACTCTAATTTGTCTGTACATTTGTGTTATGTCGCAGTTAAAAACAAATTTGAAAAGTCTCCATCTTAGAATAAGGAGGACTAAATCCAACTGAAGAGTTGGGCCGACATAAAGAATATCATTTAGACTATTCCCATTAGAAGTCTTGTTTGAGGCATTGAAAACCACACGCAATTTAGTTGTTTGTTTATCCGGATTAATAACCGGATGGTGAGGTAGGTAGCAAACCGTAGAGTTTGCTGACGAAGTCGAAACCAGTCTCATGTGGTCTAATTCTAAATATTCCCGGACCACCCCATCGTAAATGGTTTTAATTTGTGGTTTTCTAATGAGGGAAGCCTCATTGCGGAAAAATTGACGTAAACAGTTGGTCCTGGAATGACCAAGCTGACCTGAGAATTCTGGTATAATGGGAAGTTTGACAATATATCTGCCATCTGAGTCCCGACACGTTGTACTTTTGTAATTTTCCTCACAAAACTTGTCCGAAGGAGACAGAATTGCGCGCTTTGGAGGTTCTTCCAATTCCCAGAATCGAAGAAGTGTCTTGTTAAGATTATCTTCGGAATAATTTATTGTGGTAGTTAATACCGATATGTTGGAAGAGGGAATTGGACCAGTAATGATCCAGCCAAAAACAGTATTTTGAGCCATTAATGACCCTAAAATGTTGGATTGAATTCCTCGAAGAAGAATTCTAGGATATAAATCAGCACCTAGGAGTAGATCAACTGATCTAGATTCAAAGAAATTTCTATCAGCCAAACGAATATTTGGCAAACGGGAAATTAAGTCACCACCAAGTGAAAAAGATGGTAAATTGCCAGAAATAGCGGGAACCACTAATGCTGACAATTCCATGAATATTGATGTATCGATAGGAGAACCTATGCATAACGAACACAATTTGCTTGATGTAGTGGATAAGGTTTGGTTAATGCCAGAAATAGTAGCTTGTGTCGACGTAGTAGAAATACCAAGACGACGTTGTAAGTTTTCAGTAATGAAGGAAGCTTCAGAAGCTGGGTCAATTAAGGCACGAGCAGGGTATGTTATACCTTGATGAATTAAATGAACCATTGCTGTACCTAAAATAACATTTTTGTTGTGCGAAATATGATACACTTGCCTATTGGCAGAGTGCGATACACCTGACGAAGTCGAGGGAAGATTTGGATTCGCATTGCTAGATTGGAAGAAGGTTGGTTTGAAATCGACCTCGGAGAAGTCGTTGATGGAACGGGAAATGCAGAATTGGACATCGCACGATGTAAAAGAGTGTGATGGCGGTTGTTGCATTTGCCGCAGTTATGTTTACTTACACATTTTTTGACCTCATGACCAATCGTAAGACAATTAATACAACAATTGAACCGTTTGAGTACTGAAAAGCGACCTTCTACTGATAATTTGTTGAATTCTGGACACAAACGCAAAGGATGAACAGATTTCGGACAAAGAACGCACACTCTAACTGAAGGACCACGAGAAGAATTAACAGAAGGAGCTGTCTTCGTAAAATGAGCTCGCACCTTCTTTTCAGATTTTCTAGAGGAATCTATGCCACGAATATCTCGGAGACACGTAAGGGTTTGAATCCGTTCCGTAAGGAAATGATCCAAATCCTTCCAAGATGACAATGCCGATTTGTTTTTGACCGTCTGTTCCCACAATGAGACGGTGTTTTTAGGTAATCTTTGTATGCATAAAAGACTAATATGGGATCCCAATCGTTCGTAGAAACGTCGTAGATCGCCATAGCCGATATGCATCCATTGATTGCCCGCTGAAGATTTTTTAAACCCGAAGATGACTCATTGTCAAGAACCGGAAGATCAAAAAGTAATTTAAGTTGATTGTTAACCAATATACGGACATTGTCATATGCCTCCTTCAATGCTTGCCACGCTAAATCAAAACTTCTATGCGTCAAAGGGAACTTTGAAATAACATCTTTTGCTTCCCCACTAGTTTTTTTCAGCAAGTAACATAGTTTTTCAATGTTACTAAGGCGGCTGTTGTTGATATAAACCGCCGAAAAAAGATCTCTGAATGTAGGCCACGAAAGAAAGTCACCATTAAAAACATCAATATCGCAAGGCGGAAGATTTAAACTATGCATGACATTGTCATTTGAAGCGAAAACTTCAATTGACCTTCCCGTTTGGTGTGAAACACCAGACAACGAGAGAATATCATCAGGATGGGTGGCATCTCGTCTAGGAGTACTAGAAAAGTTGGAATTCAAATTCGAAGGAGGATTTGTTTGGGATAAATGATCAGAGTTTGAACGTAGAGATTGGACTGAAGAAGAATTGGAGGGCTTTTGCGAAGCACGAAGCTGATCCAATTTTCTATTGGTTGATGCAATTACGTTGACATATGCCTTAAATGCAGCATTATATTTACTTTGTGCTGATTCGAGGTCCGTTTCTTGGTCCTCGCCAGCAAGTTTGATTGACGTAAGGCATTTGTCATACGTATCTTTCACTTTATCCCAAAGCGACTTAGCTTCAGAGGATTGAACTTCAAGAATGTAAATATCGAGATCTTCATCTCGAAGAGCATTGAAGCTGCTTTCGAATTGAATGATAGCATCAGTTGATCTGATAAAATAATCAAGAGTAGAAAGCGACATTTTGAATAATCAAAAAAGTTTTACTGGATGAAAATCAAGTAAAATGGATACAAAATGTTTTTCAATTTTATAGAAACTTCAAAATTTCAAGTAAATGATTTTATTTGTTAGCGAATACTAACAATTGCAACACCAAAACAAAGAATATTACTTTTTAAGAAAAAAAGAAAACAATTGATATAAATGAGAAAAAATATAAAATACTCTTTCTCGATGTAGTGAAAATCGTATATATTTTCACTGTGTATCGAATAATACACGTTGTTTGGTATATATGTATCGAAGAATACTGAAAATTAAGTTATGTGTATCGAATAATACACGAGAAAATTATTTCCGAAAAGAAATAATTTAAAAAACAAGAATAAATTACCAAAAATCGCAAAAAATCTGTAAATTTTTGATTTTTTCTTGAATTTATGACCAAATGTAGGGTGCACGGACTGTAAAATGCACGCTACAATTCAAAATCGCAATCAAGAATTAATAAAAAACAGAAATAAATGTTTAAAATATTCAAAAAATTAAATAAAATATCGTTTTAATATATATAATAACGAATATTATTAAGATTATATGCGAAACGACCGAATGTAGGGTGAATTCAATAACGATATAGCTAATTTCCAACAGAGCCGTTAAAACTTTTAAGAAAAATTAAAATTTTTGAAAAAAAAAATATTTTTTAATTTTGGCCCGAACAGACCTAATAAACAATTTTCACTTTTTGTAATGAACACACCTATTACACGGTGTGGTGGTTACTGACTACCTAACACAAGTCAGTCAACCACAAGCATACAGCACTGATATGTGATCGTATTGTTGTTGTTGTACTAACCACTAGTATGTTGTTATTGTAATTTGAATTCTCTTTTGTGTTGAAAAACACAAAAGCACCAATCACAACAACAATGTAAATCACAGATCACTGCTTATTTATTTGCACCACACTTTTTATTTCTTTTTACGCGTATATCGTAAAGAAGAGCGAATATGTGTAAATATGTTATGAGTGTAATATTCTTGAAGAGAATTATTACACACAATGAGAAACCGGCACTGTTGGAAATTACGAAAAAGCGAATTACCGACGGACGGACACTTAAGCAAATGAAACGAACGACCGTAGTTAAGCGCTGTATTTGTTTTTGTTTCGTATTTAATATTTTTTAGAGAATATTTTTATTCAAACACTCGCGTTTATGCTCACTAAAAATGACGGTACGTACCTTTTAGTGATGAGTGGATGAATTTAATGAAAATAATTGATGATTATGATGATTGGCGAGAGTTGATGATTTTGGATGGTTGTGTTGACGATGTCAAACCTTTGAATAAGAAATGAACCAGATTAGTTGTTGTTGCTGGAAAGCCCGTATCTCGGTTCGAAGTGACCAAAATGTTGCGGAGCAGTGTAAAGAAAATAAAAAAGGAAGAAATAAAACACAAGTAAATTAGTATTTTTGAAATTAAAAAATTGGCGGTTTTATTGATGATTTATATTAGTCGAAAAACTAATATATAATTTACCTTTGTTGTACAATGGTGTTGCAGAGATGTTTATTGGACGAAGATCCGTGAAACAAGTGAAGTGAAAAAAGCAACGAGAAAGCCAAGATGTCTCAAGAGCCGCGTAAATTGACAGATAATACTCGTTAGAATTTGCCATCGCTAACTTTGAACGAAAGTTCAAAGTTGAATAAAATGGTATGATGGCAAATTATTAAAAATAATGACGAGTTGCATTTAAGGTTTATAATTTAATTGTAAATTAAACATAATTTAATTGTAAACCAAAATGTTGCGGAGCAGTGTAAATAAAAAGAAGGAAATAAAACACGGTAAAATTAATATTTTTGAAATTAAAAAATTGGCGGTTTTATTATGTTATTATATTAGTCGAATAACTAATATAATTTTACCTTTTTGTACAATTGGTGTTGCAGCGATGTTGTTAGGACGAAGATCCGTAAAAAAAGTGAAGTGAAAAAAGCAACGAGAAAGCCAAGATGTCTCAAGAGCCGCGTAAATTGACAGATAATACTCGTTAGAATTTGCCATCGCTAACTTTGAACGAAAGTTCAAAGTTGAATAAAATGGTATGATGGCAAATTATTAAAATAATGACGAGTTGCATTTAAGGTTTATAATTTAATTGTAAATTAAACAACAGTTTTTCTATAGAAAAATTTCCATTGGTGAACAGTTTTTCTATAGAAAAATTTCCATTGGTGAACAGTTTTTCTATAGAAAAATTTCCATTGGTGAACAGTTTTTCTATAGAAAAAAATTCGCATTGGTGAACTTTTTTCTATAGAAAAAAATTCGCATTGGTGAACTTTTTTCTATAGAAAAAAATTCGCATTGGTGAACTTTTTTCTATAGAAAAAAATTCGCAGTGGTGAACTTTTTTCTCTATAGAAAAAAATTCGCAGTGGTGAACTTTTTTCTCTATAGAAAAAAATTCGGTTGTTGAATTTTTTTTCTATAGAAAAATATTCCATTTTTGATTTTTTCTCTATAGAAAAAAATTCCATCGTTGATTTTTTTCCTATAGAAAAAAAATTCCATTGTTGAATTTTTATTCTACAAAAAAATTTCCATTGTTGAATTTTTTTTTCTAGAAAAATTTCCATTGTTGAATTTTTTTTTCTAGAAAAATTTCCATTGTTGATTTTTTTTCTATAGAAAAAAATTCAATTGTTATTTTTTTTTTCTATAGAAAAAAAATCAAAAATTGAATTTTTTTCTATAGAAAAAAAAATTAACAATTGAATTTTTTTCTATAGAAAAAAAATCAACAATTGAATTTTTTCTATAGAAAAAAAATCAACAATTGAATTTTTTTCTATAGAAAAAAAATCAACAATTGAATTTTTTTCTATAGAAAAAAAATCAACAATTGAATTTTTTTCTATAGAAAAAAAATCAACAATTGAATTTTTTTCTATAGAAAAAAAAATCAACAATTGAATTTTTTTCTATAGAAAAAAAAAATCAACAATTGAATTTTTTTCTATAGAAAAAAAAATCAACAATTGAATTTTTTTCTATAGAAAAAGTTCACCAACGCGAATTCAAGTGTTGATTTTTTTTTTTTCTATAGAAAAAAATTCTTTTTCTGATTTTTTTCTATAGAAAAAAATTCTTTTTCTGATTTTTTTCTATAGAAAAAAATTCTTTTTCTGATTTTTTTCTATAGAAAAAAATTCTTTTTCTGATTTTTTTCTATAGAAAAAAATTCTTTTTCTGATTTTTTTCTATAGAAAAAAATTCTTTTGCTGATTTTTTTCTATAGAAAAAAAATTCTTTTGCTGATTTTTTCTATAGAAAAAAAATTCTTTTGCTGATTTTTTTCTATAGAAAAAAATTCTTTTGCTGATTTTTTTCTATGGAAAAAAATACAATTGTTAATTTTTTTTTATAGAAAAAATTCCATTTTTGAATTTTTTTTTTCTATAGAAAAAAAATTAATTTTTTTATTCTATAGAAAATTTCAGATTTTCTTCCATTTCTTACAAGTGCCATTGACTTCATCGATTATTTTCTACGTCTCCCTTACAAATTGTTATCTTAAGTAAATTTACTCGCTGTAATGTAGATTCAATAAGCGATAGCATCGCCCTGAGTTCGGGTATCGGACAATAACTTTGAGCAAACAAAAACAAAGTCTGGGCGCCTTTTATTGCCAACCACTGAAGTGCTGGTGATTTTCCAAACTATCCGGGGCTCTCAGCTCTGCCAGCTGCTGGCGCTGCGACAGAGCCAGTGGCATTAAATTAATGACCGAAGCAAACAAATTAAAAAAAAAAACGAAGCGCCTCGCTGGACATTTAACACCTTTCCGCGCCGAAAGCCTACGGCCATAACACTCGACCACTTGCGAACCGAACCGTTTCTACGCACAAAATTGTCATAAAATTGATTGATAATTTTTTTTTCGGGGTCTTATCTTTTAATAAATTCTTGAAATTGTTGGGGGATTATTTTGTGGCAATTTGTTAATTTCGATTTTTTTTTTTTTTGGCATTGATTTTTTTCCGCTCTCTAAATTTCTTGTTAAATTAATGGATTAAGGAGAGGTTTCCGTTGGCATGATGAGGTAATTCGTTGCGCGTTCGGCATTCTTTTTATTACAAACTTGGTAGTGAAAATCAATTAAGGCAGCCAACAACAACAACAACACCAAAACCGGCAGCAACACTCCCTGAAGAAGCCAAGAACATTAGGTGAAGAAGTCAGTGTCACAACTATTCAGACAAAAAAGAGAGAGATTAGGGAGAGAATCAACGAATGAGATGCTCTCTATTTCCATAGAACAGAGAAGCTTTAATAACGAAATTTTTTCTATGGAAATATTTTTTCTATATAAAAATTTCCTTTGGTGAAGTTTTTCTATAAAAAAATGTCCTTTGGTGAAGTTTTTCTATAGAAAAATTTCCTTTGGTGAAGTTTTTCTATAGAAAAATTTCCTTTGGTGAAGTTTTTCTATAGAAAAATTTCCTTTGGTGAAGTTTTCTATAGAAAAATTTCCGCCGGTGAAGTTTTTCTATAGAAAAATTTCCTTTGGTGAAGTTTTTCTATAGAAAGTTTTTCTATAGAAAAATTTTCTTTTGGTGAAGTTTTTCTATAGAAAAATGTCCTTTGGTGAAGTTTTTCTATAGAAAAATGTCCTTTGGTGAAGTTTTCTATAGAAAAATTTCCTTTGGTGAGTTTTTCTATAGAAAAATTTCCTTTGGTGAAGTTTTTCTATAGAAAAATTTCCTTTGGTGAAGTTTTCTATAGAAAAATTTCCGCCGGTGAAGTTTTTCTATAGAAAAATTTCCGCCGGTGAAGTTTTTCTATAGAAAAATTTCCGCCGGTGAAGTTTTTCTATAGAAAAATTTCCGTCGGTGATGTTTTTCTATAGAAAAATTTCCGTCGGTGATGTTTTTCTATAGAAAAATTTCCGTCGGTGATGTTTTTCTATAGAAAAATTTCCGTCGGTGATGTTTTTCTATAGAAAAATTTCCGTCGGTGATGTTTTTCTATAGAAAAATTTCCGTCGGTGATGTTTTTCTATAGAAAAATTTCCGTCGGTGATGTTTTTCTATAGAAAAATTTCCGTCGGTGATGTTTTTCTATAGAAAAATTTCCGTCGGTGATGTTTTCTATAGAAAAATTTCCGTCGGTGATGTTTTTCTATAGAAAAATTTCCGTCGGTGATGTTTTTCTATAGAAAAATTTCCGTCGGTGAAGTTTTTCTATAGAAAAATTTCCGCCGGTGAAGTTTTTCTATAGAAAAATATGCGTTGGTGAACTTTTTCTATAGATAAATATGCGTTGGTGAACTTTTTCTATAGAAAAATATGCGTTGGTGAACTTTTTCTATAGAAAAATATGCGATGGCGAACTTTTCTATAGAAAAATATGCGATGGCGAACTTTTTCTATAGAAAAATATGCGATGGCGAACTTTTTCTATAGAAAAATATGCGATGGCGAACTTTTTCTATAGAAAAATATGCGATGGCGAACTTTTTCTATAGAAAAATATGCGATGGCGAACTTTTTCTATAGAAAAATATGCGTTGGTGAACTTTTTCTATATAGAAAAAAATCCATAGATGAAGTTTTTCTATAGAAAAATATCTATTGGTGAACTCTTTCTATAGAAAAATATGCGTTGGTGAAGTTTTTCTATAGAAAAATATGCGTTGGTGAAGTTTTCTATAGAAAAATATGCGTTGGTGAAGTTTTTCTATAGAAAAATATGCGTTGGTGAAGTTTTTCTATAGAAAAATATGCGTTGGTGAAGTTTTTCTATAGAAAAATATGCGTTGGTGAAGTTTTTCTATAGAAAAATATGCGTTGGTGAAGTTTTTCTATAGAAAATATGCGTTGGTGAAGTTTTTCTATAAAAAATATGCGTTGGTGAAGTTTTTCTATCGAAAAATATGCGTTGGTGAAGTTTTTCTATCGAAAAATATGCGTTGGTGAAGTTTTTCTATAGAAAAATATGCGTTGGTGAAGTTTTTCTATAGAAAAATATGCGTTGGTGAAGTTTTTCTATAGAAAAATATGCGTTGGTGAAGTTTTTCTATAGAAAAATATGCGTTGGTGAAGTTTTTCTATAGAAAAATATGCGTTGGTGAAGTTTTTCTATAGAAAAATATGCGTTGGTGAAGTTTTTCTATAGAAAATATGCGTTGGTGAAGTTTTTCTATAGAAAAATATGCGTTGGTGAAGTTTTTCTATAGAAAAATTTCCGTCGGTGATGTTTTTCTATAGAAAAATTTCCGTCGGTGATGTTTTTCTATAGAAAAATTTCCGTCGGTGATGTTTTTCTATAGAAAAATTTCCGTCGGTGATGTTTTTCTATAGAAAAATTCCGTCGGTGATGTTTTCTATAGAAAAATTTCCGTCGGTGATGTTTCTCTATAGAAAAATTTCCGTCGGTGATGTTTTCTATAGAAAAATTTCCGTCGGTGATGTTTTTCTATAGAAAAATTTCCGTCGGTGAAGTTTTTCTATAGAAAAATTTCCGTCGGTGAAGTTTTTCTATAGAAAAATTTCCGCCGGTGAAGTTTTTCTATAGAAAAATATGCGTTGGTGAACTTTTTCTATAGATAAATATGCGTTGGTGAACTTTTTCTATAGAAAAATATGCGTTGGTGAACTTTTTCTATAGAAAAATATGCGATGGCGAACTTTTTCTATAGAA